TTCCTGAACATGAAGAGGATGCTGAAGAAGACGATTACTCTTTCTAYCCTACCCTTAACCATCAACTGGATGAACAGGAAGAAGAACGTCAATTAGAAGAAGAAGAACCAGAACCATCGACAAGATCCAACAAAACCTTAAAGAAACTGAGAGATCGATTGGAAGGATATTTGAAGCAACTGCCTGTGGTCGGTTTCAACTCCGGAGAATATGATTCCTGACTCTCGTCCTTGAAGAATCTGAAAGCATCCAATTCACCATTAAAAGAAACAACAACTTCATGTGCCTCCAAACAGATCATCTCCGTTTCCTCGATGTTACTAACTTTCTGGCTCCTGGATTTAGTTACGAAATATTCCTGAAAGCTTACGAATGCCCTCAAACCAAAGGTTTCTTTCCCTACGAGTGGATGGATTCGTTAGAGAAACTGGACCATACTTCACTCCCTCCACATGAAGCTTTCTACTCTTCCTTAAAACAGAAGAATATCTCTCAAGAAGAATACCTTTACTGTCAGCACGTTTGGCAAGAAAAGGAGATGAAAACCTTCAAAGATTTTCTCATCTGGTACAATAACCTTGACGTTGAGCCCTTTTGCGAAGCTCTAGAGAAAATGAATGCTTTTTGGAACGTGAAGAACATTGACATGCTTCGTCAAAGCATTTCCATTCCTGGCGTGACTCTGACTTACCTCTTCCTGACCTTAGAACCTGCAATTTACTTTTCTCTCTTTGACGAGAGAAATAAAGATCTCTACTACACTTTCAAGAGCAACATGGTGGGGGGACCAAGTATCATTTTCCATCGATATCATGAAGTCRGCAAAACCAAACTGAGAGAGAACGAGTTGGGTGAAGAAGCAAAACTGTGCCAAAAGATTGTGGGGTACGATGCCAATGCTCTGTACCTCTGGGCCACCATGCAGCAGATGCCTACGGGCTCTTACACCAGAAGGCGAGAAGAAACCGGTTTCAAGAAAGAAATTTCCGTGAAAATGGACACCGAATGGTTAAAATGGGAA